TATATATATATATATATATATATAAAAACTATGAGAATATAACAATAATAATTAATTAACAAATACGGAAAAAATTGAACATGAAATGCACTTTTGACATTATTAAAATAAAATATAAATTAAATTAGAAAATAAATGCAAAGAGGAAAAATTGATTTCACAATTATTATTTTTTGTAGTTGCACTTTCTTCAATTCCTTAAAATTCATCCAAAAAATTAAATTTAAATATTTCTACACACCCATTTTGGTTTTTCCTCAAACATATGATGGGGCAGAGGATAGGATTGTTTCTTGCTTAATTAGAAATCTCGAGTTCAAACTTTGAGTATGAAAAAAACTCTTGATAGGTTATATATCTCTCCGAACAAAGTCCTACACAATATAAATTCAAAATACTCTAATTTTAATATCACATGGAAAAAAAAATATAATACAAAAATAAAATCATGTTAAGTGTTAACAAATAGAAAAGGCAAGAAAGAGTTGGGAGGAGAAAGAAAAAATAGGAAAAAAGGTAAAAAAATGAATGAGAAAAGGAAATGAAAGAAAGTGGAACGTGGGTCCCATATACACTTGGCAGCCAAATAAGGCCTCATACAACTGACACTAGTTGTATCTCGCCCACAATAAAAAAATTCGGCAATTAGTATTGAAAACAAATACTTGAAAAGTGAGTTTAGTATTAAAAGGTTTAAGTTATATTTTCTTAGCTTCAAAATACTTGACCTGCATATTAAGAATAGTTTTTTGATTGACTTTTCTAATATGTAAGTCAAGACAACTTTATTATATTGATAAAATATACTTGTAATTACAATTTTCTTAAGGGGTGTATCAGGTCAACATAGCTAAGTAATATGAAATGAAAGAAATATATATTAACTATGATTATTGAAAGGGAAAAAAAAAGGGTCAATTTTACTTGTAAACTATTCGAAAATGGGATAATGTTGTCTTTCATTTTAGGTTATAATTCAAAAATACCCTTATCGTTAGTCAAGTAGCTCAAAAATACACTTGTTCCTGGTGATTTCTCACGCTCATATGGAAAAATGTCAGTTTTACCCCTTAAATATTCGAAAAAGACAATTTCAATCTCCATCAATATGTCAATACATTAAGAAAGGGAATGTGACGAACAGTGGTGAATTCGTAATTTTTATTAAGGAGATTAAAAATATAAACAAATCTTTTCATAAATATAAAAAGAAAAATTATGAAGTAGGTTCGAATACATCTCTTGCACTCGGGCTCCACCAATGATAACTCTTGCAATGTTAGATTTTTAGTCACTATCAATTCTTGGTCAACTTTATCAACCAATGTATTTTTCAAAAGTATTACAATAATGTTTGTTAATTGACACCATACAACTATACACTAAAAATCAATTAGAAGAATCATTTTTGAAAGGTAAATAAATGGACTATTAGTTTACCAATTTAGTTTGACTTGTTATTTATGTTTTTAGTGGGACATCCAAACGCGGCTTTATGATTAGAATTAGTTTTTCAGTTATAGACATTTGGAGTTTTGTAAAAGTGACATTTTAGTTCCAAAATTATCTTGACTTGACTTTTAGCCTCCATTTATTTTTTTATTTTTTAAAAAAGGGGTATTTTTCTGCCTGCATTCCACTTCTTGAATTGGAATGTTCTTTACATATATTGGCACTCTATTCCAATAAATAATTATACTAGCTTATTCAAAATATCTTGGGTTAACCGTGTTTAAATCCCTTGGTTATTGATAATTCTGATTATAATCTTTACGGTATTCGACTAAACATATTTTTGTGATCTCTTTATAATAATAATATCAATGTAATTTCGTAAGTGAATTCTAAGAAATGTGGTGTATAGTTTTACCCTTATCTTGTAATGATAGATTAGTAAAGCATATCGAAGTCAAATATGAAAAAGATATACGGTAATGAAAGAACATGCTAAAAATAAAGGAAAAAAGAGAGTAGTAGTTTTTACAAATAATACGGTAAGAGAAACAAAGGAAACAACATGTAATAATAAAATCGAAGAACAAGACAATAAGAAAATAATAATAACAATACTGGTAAGAAAGCTAGACAAATCTCAACTAGTTACTAATAATCTTCTACCTAATCATCGACCTCCATAACCTCCTATCTAGAGTTACATAAATAATAACCATCTCACTGCTTTAATTATTTATATCTTACCTTAAATTTGTATTATTACTCCATATTTAACGATTAGATAATTCTATAAATAGTAAAATATGACATATTTTCTACATAAAAGGATTTGAAATACACATTTTAATTAATTGAAAACTAAATCGGCTTACAATCATATATCCCTAGGACCAAATTTTTTTTTACCAATAACTTATGAATAAAAAGTGCTATTATCCCAAACATCTTTCAATTCTAACCAATTTCAAATTATTATATTATTGTATTGAAATAGTGGAATAACACCATAATTAATGGGTATAGAACGAATCCAAGTGTTGAATATCAAATCGCAGAATGACTTTTTATTTTTATCTCTATAATATGCCTCTTTTGTAAAATAAATTTTATTATCTCTATCGGAGTCTTCGATTAATATTAATTTACGCCGCATAAAATTCATGAAAGGGTGACACTTTTATTCCACTCATGTT